CCCAGGGCAGAGACCATGTGAGCCCCCTAGGGAGAGGCTGGCCAGAGGCCAAGGAGCCTCAAGAAAGGGGCCCTGCTCAGAGTGAGAGGAGCCTGGAGGGATGGAGCCGCCAGCCGCCAGCCGGGGCTGGGCCAAGAGCCCTAGAGCAGACCAGCAGCCCCGCTCGGAAGGTGGAGGCTCCTCCCAGGAAACATCAGCCTCTTCAAGCCCTTTAGAACACCTTCCCAGCCAGCCCGGCTGAGCATGTGGCCTCCCCAGAATGACACGCACAGCTCCTGCAGGCAGCCGCACCCTCATTCATCACCAAAAGTCTTCAGGGGTGGGAGGCTGGGAAAGAGATAGACAAGAAGACAGAGTAAAGGAACAGGGGCGGGGGCCTCAACAGTAGCCTTAAGTGGAAATTGGGGAACTGCATCCTCGGAGCTCCTAGACCTCTCCACCCAGCCAAACTGCAGGTCAGGCACCGGGCAGAGGTCCATCAAGGCCACCTCTCCTTCTCCCCTCTACCCGAGTGTCTCCCTTGGACTCCCACTCCCCGGCCTGTATCAGGCTCCTCTACCAGCTTAGGGAGGGCTCTCCCTGCTTCCCAGCCTTTGGCGGACACCCTGCCTCCTCTGCCCAGGGTACCAGCTCTGTTCCGCTCTTCCCACTCTTCATCATTGCCGGGAGCTTGGGCCCAGTCCCTTGGCCTGCAAGTAGGGTCTCAGCTGCCCCTGCCACCTGCAGCTCTTCCCTCACTCTGGCCCTGGCCTCCTAAGCTCAAGCCTCCAGATGGTCCACTCCTACCCCTCCTGGCTCTCCTCCTTCCAGCCTAACACTCCATGGCAAACAACTGCTGGATTGATCTTGGGGTCCCTTCAGGAGAAAACACTCCCAGAATCATCTGAAACTCAAGCAGACACAGGCAGTCCATGTAGGAAGCATAAAGATGCAGGCGAGACATGGACTCTGCCATGACTTACCCAGTGCTGCCTGGGTCCAGCAGTTGCTGCCACACTGAGGGTGCAACACGATGCTGATGCACAAATGAACAGAGGCATGGAATCCCACAGCCTGCAAAGTGGCCTGCACGCTGCCTTTTCACACCTGCACACTGAGCTCTCAGCACCGCGACAGTCACCTGTAGAGTGGCTGGGGATCCTACAGCCACCTCGGCAAGAGGTGGAGAGCAGAGCCATGCACGTGGCTGTGTCCCTGAGCTTAGAGAGGGACATTTGTCTATGAGATCAAGGTTCCTGAGGTAGTACTGTTCCCCAGCAAAGCCAGACGACCAGGTGGGAAGGGTCTAAGTGGTCACATAGAACCCCAGTCCTCGGTGCAAGCGCCAGAGCCCTTGGGCCAGGTAGGGGCACCCCTGGCCCATTCACTTTCTACTGTTCTTCTAGGGACCCAGACAGGATTGGGGCTTCCCAGGTCTATCCAGGCCTCCCAGACTCAGCCCTGGATTCTCCTGTGTTCTGTCATCTCTGGCCTGTGCAGCTCAGGTCCCTCAATTCTTTCACAATGAGAAGCCCCACCCTGCCCTATGAACCACGTGTCCCTGGAACTTCTTTTGTTTAGGTATTTTCGGCTCGATGCTCTCCAGGAAAAGCCACTGGGCTGACGTCCTGACAGAGTGGGGCCTCTGCTTCCTCCTCCTGCAGTCCAAGCTGGAGTGCACTCCAGCTCTCGCTGGTGCCAGACGTCTGGCTAGCCTGGCGCACCCTTAACCACTTGCTGCCTGGAGCCTGGAGGGAGAGCCCACATACCAGCTCCAGAGCTACAGACTAGGGAGAAAAGAATTTGGGCCCAGGATGGTGTGCTTTACCTGGAATCCAGCCGTCCTAACACCAATCCACCCCCAACTTTCCATCCCTGGCAGAGATGGGTGTGTGATGCCCCCAGGCCCAGGGAAAAGTGGAGCCAGCCAGGACTACTGCCAGATGGCAGCATGGCCATGGGAGCCCCGCCATGCCCAGGACCTGGGCCAGGCACTTGGGATTTACTTCCAAATTTGACCCTTATGGTGATGTTCTCAGGGGATTGGAATGGAAGAAGGAGAGGAGGCACCATGCTCCAGGCTCCCTTTGTTTCCTAATTTAGTTTCTGGGACTCTGGCTCCAGCCTCAGAGTCCTCACCAGTGCCCTCGCTGATTTCCCCAGCAGCAGACTTAAGGCCTGAAAGCTAAGAACAGTGTTTCAGCTCGTAGTTCCAGGTCATTCTGAACCACAGCCTCATCCCCTCAAAATGCTTAGTCCCCCCGCATCACACGGAGCTCTGTCCCCTGCCCATTTTAGTTTTTTATTTTGCAACAGAGTCTCACTAAGCTATTAAAACACCTGGGATGGAACTTGTGATCCTCTTGCCTCATCCTCCCAGAGAAGTAGGATTACAGGAGTGTGCTGTCACTCCCGGCCAGGAGACCTTTTTCTTTAAGCGCTCTTTCCTGCTTCCTTTGCTGTGCCCCACGAAGTGCACATCTATTCAAAAGACAGATGGGAGAAAGTCAGGAGTGACAGTTTGTTTAAATCCTCCTCTTTGGGAATTCTTTTAGAAGTCAAGGCATGAGAAACGTGCCTTCGGGGGTGAGTCTACAGGAAGCACCTCCTGATCACTGGTGACACAGCCTCTTCTTGGGGTCCACCCCTGGAACCCACTCCTGAGCAGCCTCATGAGGCAGCAGGGCCATCAGACACGTGCTTGCATTGGCCAGCTGTACGCAGAGCTGCACACAGAGCTTGCTGGTGTTCCTGAGGGCCATCTGGTCTACTTCTCTGTGCAAGTGCAGGAGCTCAGGCCCAAGGGGTTCTGGCCTGCACAGGGGGGGCTTCAGAATGGGGCAGAGGGTGGCCCAGCACTCACAGAGCTGTGACCCAGCACTCTCTCAGCAGCTCTGAAAAAATCAGCTGTGCAAGTATGTATTTTGTATAGACTGAGCTCATGGTTCCTTGAAGGATGAAAAATGAAGCTGTGAATCAAAGGAGAAAGTTCTGAGTTTTATTGGAAATAATGAGAGAAGAAAGTTCATAATGGGTTGCTATCGTGAGGGAATTCTGAAGGAAAAGTCTAACTTCTGGGCCCTGTATGTATAAGCAGATCACAGGAAGGAGGCTTGTTTTAAAAGAAATGAGTTCAAACGTGTTCAAAAGAAAACTGGTTGGCTCCCATTTCTGTTTCCAGAAGTCCAGTTGAAATCTAGTCAGGAGTTAGAAGGAGCCGTTATAATCTCTCTTCCAGAGGGAAGGGTCCTTATCTGTCTATTCCAATCCCAACCTTTTATCCTTGTTCTTGTGAAGTTTCTTATATATTCATATTCTTAAGTATTTAGGTTTAACCGGCTGCTTGATTCGATGGCTGCTTGACATCTTTTGTCTAATATCACTACACTACTGTAATGCCCACTCATAGTAACTAATCTAGGACACTCCATTGGGGGTAGGGAGCAAGACCCCCCACAGCGCGACTCCCACACTGCTGGCCTGGCTGCTGTCTTAGCAGGGCATCTGCTTTGCATTGTGTCTCCTCCTTGGAAACTGGACTCCCTGTGGCTTCCCCCAGGAACTTAAACAGGAAGCAAAAGGAGGTGTTGGGAGTCCTGCTGGTGCCCAGAAAGCCTCTGTCCTTCCCTTGAGTGCTGGGAGCCTGCGCGGAACCTAGTTGCCTGTGTGTAGCAAAATTTCTTGCTGGCAGTCACCCAGGGTTATTGACAATGGAGGACACACACATTATCCTGGGTCTGTTGCCCATCTGAAACTCAGTTCTTCTCTTTTAAAGAAAAAAGCCAAATAATAACTGTCCAGCAGGGCTACTTCTCTGCCTGGTGGCTTCTCTGGTCCTGAGCATCCTTGTGACACTCAGAGCCACGGCCCATCCTGACAGTGTGAATCAGGAGACGATTCATAGGCATGAGCTCGCAAGTTGGAAGCTGTTCAGAGAGGGACAAAAGAATAATTACCATAGCCAGGCATGGTTGGCACAGGCCTAGAACCGCAGCAAGCTGACTGAGATAGGAGGATGGCAAGTTCGAGGCCTTCTTGGGCAACTTAGTGGCTTCCTGAGATCCTGTCTCAAAATTTAAAAAATAAATAAATAAAAGTTAAGATGGACTGGGGATGCAGCTCACTGAAGAATCCCTGGATTCAGTCCCCAGTACCACACACAGAAAAACAAACCAGCGTATATATTCTAAGTCGATCATGCACATTATTTATAAAATCATACCAATAAACTCCTGCTTCATGCTGTCATATTGTTAGATGACAACTAACCATCAGCTCAGAACGCTGGACTGGGAGTGGTCAGGGGCCGCCCAGGGCAAGGCCTGGGCCAAGGAGGATCACAAGTTCAGCCCAACCTGGGCAACTTAGCAAGACCTAGTCTCAAAATTTAAAGTATAAAACCATTTTTAAAGACTAGGGATGTAGCTCAGTGCAAAAGACCTGGGTTCAATCCCCAGTGCCATAAAAACAAAACAAAAATGACACATGGCAGTGTTGTGGCTCTTACAACTGGGTTCTCTCAGGAAGACCTTCAGGGGCAGAGTGGGGTAGGAAACAAGTGAAGCTGTTCAAGGCAAGGTGACAAAAAGCTGGTAGAGGGTTGCAGTCCTGCTCTGTCTGCTTCTCCTGTTTGAAATTGAGCTTCCAGTTCAACCTTTGTGTAATTTGATGCTTTCAATTTAAAAAGTGCCTCAGGGAATTTAGTCATTTTCCAAAAGTTCCTGACAGGGCTGGACCAGACAGCATGAGGCATACGTGTGTGCAAGCCTCAGAGATGGCTCTCCAGAGGGTCTACACACATGTGCATGCGTGCGTGCACGCACGCACACACACACACACACACACACACACACACACTTCACCCTTTGTGCACAGGGCTGTGCCCATGTTTCCAGCTCCCACGTTCTCAGAGCCCTGGACAGGTCCTGATCTGGTCCAACATGCTACACCGTGGCTCTCCGGACCCTCAGCAGGTGGGAGCCCCCTGCCCTGTGACTAATGCCATCTTTGTCTGTCCCCAGCCTGTCCGGGTGCCCAAGAGCCACATCAGCCATGAAGAAGGCAAAGCTGTCTGGGGAGCAGATGCTGACCATCAAGCAGCGAGCCAGCAATGGTAACTAACCACGCCCCACCCCATGCCCGCTGCTGGGGAAGGTAGTTGTTGGCATGGCCGCCTCCTGTGGCTGCTTCATTGGCACAGCCCCAAGCCTTAGACGGGGAGGAGGGGCACTCCAGCCCTACCTGAAACCCTCTGTCCTGCTCTGCCCTCACCCCTCTCAGCGGCACCTGTCTCCTTTGCCCATGCCCAGTGCCCAAGTTTCTTGAATCTGCTTCCTCTGTCTCTGCTGTTGCTCACCTGCCTCTGTACATACAAAGCAACAGAGGGAACTGAGGCTCAGTGGGCAGTGTGGATGGGGCAGCATTGCCTGGACTCCTGCCCACAAGCTCCCGAGACCCACCCTCAGGCCTCTGGAACACAGTATGCTCAGACTGAGGACAGGAGCTCCTCTCCTGGAACAGTTCAAGCCATGTCCTTTGCATTGGCCTTTTTGGGTTTTTTGAGACAGGGTCTCACTACACAGTACAGATTGGCCTTGTATTCTCAGTGATCCTCCTGCCTCAGCCTCCTGAGTGCTGAAATGACAGGCATGTACCATCAGGCCCAGCCTGCATTGGGCTTTGGGTGATTATTTTTATATCGTCGGGCCCAGAAACAGAACAGAGCCCCCTCAGGGTTCCTAAGAGCACACAGCTGTGATGTGCCTAGAATCACTCTATTCCACCATGAGTCCATCGTTGGTCCAGTGCTCCTCATGAGCAATTGGCATTGACCACATAGTCATACCCAGAAACACAAAACCAGGTGTTTAGCAATGTGCTGATAACACAAGGTACCCAGAGGTGGCAGCCACTCAGTGGGACAGCTCAATGCTCACTCATTCAAGTCTGAGTGACTTCATAAAAAATGAATCCTCGTAGCTAAGCATGGTGGGTGCGCACCTGTCATCCCAGCACTAGGGAAGTTGAGGCAGGAGGATTGTTCAAGACCTGGGCTACATAAGGAGATCCTGGAGAAAGAGAAAGAGAGAGAGAGAGAGAGAGAGAGAGAGAGAGAGAGAGAGAGAGAGACAGAGACAGAGAGACAGAGAGACAGAGACAGGGACAGAGACAGAAAGAGAGACAGAGAGAGACAGACAGAGAGAGACAGAGACAGAGAGACAGAGACAGAGACAGAGACAGAGACAGACAGAGAGAGAGAGATTGCTGACCCATGCCAGGCTCCAAGTGTGATGCTTAGTCCAGCATCTCACCTACAAACATACCCGTCCTACAGTAGAAACCCTTAGCAACATGGCCCGAGTCTGTGCCCATCTGCTACTCATTAGGAGTGAAAGGAAGTGGCAGTAGATGAAGGCCGAGTTCAGAAAGAGAAGTAGACAGGGGCTGGAGAGATGGCTCAGTGGTCTAAAGCACCTACTTGAAACAAGCTTGGCAAAGCACAGGGACCGCGGTTCGATCCCCCAGCACCACATGCCAGCCAGCCCCGCCCCCTGCTGGGCTGAGCTGGCCACACACACACACACACAATAAATAAAAAAAATGTAATAAATAAAAATAAATAAATAATTAAAAAAAAAAGAGAGAAGTAGACAGAGGAAGGTCTGAGGTCCTCGAGGCAGGTGACTCACACCTGGAGCACTCTTCCCTGGCAGGAAGCAGGTGGCATAGGGGTACCTGGCTCTCAGCACCCAGCCACCGTCCCCAGGTCCAAGGCCCCAGCTGGTAGTCAGAGCACGGGCTGCCTTACAGATAGAGGTTTCCACTCTGGAGGTCCTTCTTTTGGGTGCAACTTTTTTATCATTCACTAAAAGCCAGACCTGAAGGACAGGGATGTAGCTCAGCAGCACAGCACCTTCCTGGCAAGCGCAAGGTCCTGAGTCTGATTCCCCGTACTAAACACAAACAAAAAAAAAGCCACACCTGAGGTCCGCCCCAGGAAGTTTTCTGATAGCTTTAGTTAAATATCTTTTTTTCTTTCTTGTTTTAGACACCTAAGCAGCAGGAGTGGCAACACTTAAGAGTCATAGAAACCCACACACTGTGACACTGTTGTTTTCATCCAAGGGAATATTTCCTGAGCAAATTTAAGTCTAATTATGAAAAATGCAAAGCAGATTTTCAAAATGCAAGCTCTAAAATCTCCTGGGGTTGTAGTTTTAAGGTGTTAATTTTCCCCCCACAGGTATAGAAAACGATGAAGAAATCAAACAGTTAGATGAAGAAATCAAAGAGCTCAATGAATCCAATTCCCAGATGGAGGCCGACATGATTAAACTCAGAACTCAGGTAACAGTTTTTGAAGCCCTCAATTCTTGTGCTAACCGGCACTGTCGCGCAGAGGAGTGTGGTGGAGAAGCCACTTTGGGAGAGGCATCCTGTTCTGTAGCTTTACTTTCGTATCTTTTATTTTTGTGCCCAGTATCTTGGTCCTCTGCTGAAATCATTTCGGAGCTATGCTTGCTGTGATGGAGTGCCAGGTGCCGGGTGTGCGTGTGTGTGTGTGTGTGTGTGTGTGTGTGTGTGTGTGTGCCTTCTGACTTCTCTCCCTCTTCCCATGAAAACCACTAGGACTAGATCCCTGGGCCCCACTCCACAAGCATACCTAAGCCTCGAATGCCCTGGCTGGAATGAGTTTCCACCCAAATCACCCAGAACAATGGGGGTTTAATCTCCACCCACAAAGGCTTGGGCACACTCGGTTATATTCAAACTGTAGCCCATCTCTAACCCCAGAGAACTCATGCTAAATAGCCAAGTAAATTTTCTTCACTGTCCAGTTGAAAGTACTCAGATTAGGAGAAAAGCACCTTGTGTGATTTGTCTGAGTGCCTCGGCCTGCAGTGCATTTGAGCAGTGTTTTGAGCCAACTCAGTGTGACCAAGAGACTGTTTATGTCCCCAGAAAGCTAGACCTTGTTATGCTTCATAGTTCAGTAAGAAACCATCCATCTCTGGGGCTGTGACCCAGCAAAAACTCGGGTCAGATATCCTGAATGCCCACCCCATTACTGCTGTGCATCAGCAGCACAGCCAAGGTCCCCTGCAAGGCCACCTTTGGTCCACCCTGATTCAGCGGAATTCAACTCAGCACAGACTTGAGGTGTTGAAGACCCATCAGGCAGCTGGGCTGGACACACCCAAGCCTGGATTTTTGAGGTCATTGACACACATCTCCTCCCATTCAATTTGGTTTACACCACTTCTGATGACTAATGCAGCCAATGACTAAAGATGGGCCATTGCTGCTGGGACTTCACCCCATAAGACACACAGGAAGTGGTCATCACAGTCCAGGAAAGAAGTGGCCATGGAGGAACAGGAAAGACACTCGACTTCTGGGGCGAAGGTGGCTCCAGGAAGCACAATAGGAATGAGGGTGTGAACCCCAGCCTCGGAAAGGCAGGACTCCATGGCCACGGGCAAAGAGAAGAAGAGGAAACAGCCAGAGACAGAGCAAAGGGGGGAGGCTGAGCCTCTCAGCGCACTGAGAAACAGCCCGGGGTCAGAGCCAGTGTAGTTTTACTGGGGGGCGGGGGGGGGGAGCAATGAGGTCTTAGAATAGGAAAAAAAGAAGCAGTAGTTCAGGTCAGATTGCTCGTGAGAAATTACCTTGCTTCTGGCTCAGGGGCCCGCGGACCAGGGCGAATGTTCCCTCCTCCCTCGTGTAGTTTTGTTCCTGCTGAGTTTAGCAGGGCAGTGCATTCCTGGCTCGCTGTATCTACGCCCCAGGCATCAGGCTTCCGGTTGGTTTTCCTTCGAGCAGAGGTAGTCTATGTAGCCCTGTAGTCCATCACATGCTAAGAGGTGTGATCAGAAAATACGGTGAATGTTTAAAATTTTTTAGAAATTTATTTTTATAGGTTTGTGTTTGCAGTACATATGCATCACATTCATCGTGAGGAACTGGCGCACATACATAACACACCGTAACTATTTCTGTGTCCCCTTCCTCTCTCTACCCCACCTCTATTCTTGTTCCCACTTTTACCAAAAAAAAAAAAATCTGCTTCTTATTAGCTATCTTTTATTTTGCTCTTTAATTTTTTTATACTGCCAGAGAGATAGCGCAACAGTCTAAGTGCCTGTCTGGCAAGCTCAAGGACCTAGGTTTGATCCCCGGTACCACATGCTGTGCCAGCCCCAAGCCAAGCCAAGCCAGCCATCAAAACCAGATGTGGTGGTGCCCGCCTATAATCTCCACAGTAGATTGGCTGAGACAGAAGGATCACTATGAGTCTGAGCTGTGTAGTGACACCCTGTACCAAATATATAATAAATAAATAAATAATTTTTTTTAAATCTATCAAGTATTTAATTAGGTTCTTAGTAAGAAATTTAGAACACTAATTTATGAGGATAAATTCCATTGGTCAGAGCAAAAACGGATCGCAGGTAGCCCCGGAGCTGAGGAACACCTTTGATTTTTGCCAAAATCTGTGAGTCCACCACTTTCTGATCCACCTTGCGCTGCTCTGAAATCTGGTATCTCTCTTTCTCGGTGTCAAAGATCTCTCCCTCCTGGTGTCTGGGCTTCCGCAGCTTCTTCTTCTTAAAGTAAGCATCAGTGAGGTGTTTGGGGATTTTCACTTTGCTGATGTCAATTTTTGTAGAGGTTGCAATGACAAATTTCTGGTGTGTTCTTCGTAGAGGAACCCGATTAAGGCTCAGAGGCCCAGTCACAAGTAGCAAGCCACTCTCCAACTGCTTCAGGAACACCACTCTCTTGCCTCTGTGACGCCCAGTGAGGATGATCAAGATGGTGCCGGGAGTGATGCTAGCTCGAAGTTTCCGCACATGCTGACTGAAGGGTTTCTTGCCGTGGCTCAAGAGCTTTCGGGGCACATCTTCAGTGGGGGAGTAGCTAGGCATTTTTCGAAGCTTAACCACCCGGCTACCTCCATTCTTGTCCCCACCGACCGGTTTTGTGATGGTAGCAAGAACTTTCTCCTTCTTTTTCTTCTCAACCTTTGATTTAGCAGCTGTGTACTTTCTCTTGTACAAAGCTTTTCTGGAATACATGGCAGATCGGGAGTATCTACCAATTCCTCTAACCAGGACAGGATTTCGGCTGCAGTGGGGCTGCCCCTTCTTGGACTTTTTTGCCTTCTTCACCTTACCCTTTTTACCAGTGCCACTGGCAGAAGCCTTCTGGGCTTCGGGTTTCTTCTCTTTAGTGTCTGGCTTCTCAGTTTTTTCACCCACCATCTTGCAAGATGGGAAAGAGCTAAATAAATAAATTTTTTAAAAATCATTTATATTCTGGGTTTCTCATAGAAGAGAAACCCTACAACATTTAAGCTTGTGTGTCCAATTTATTTCACATAACATTATGTTCTCAAGATGCATCCTGAATGTTTAAAATTTTAAATGTATTGCAATAAAAGATGCAGTGCCTTGAGTCCCTTCATAGTGATCTCCCTGCTTGGAGCACACTCACCCCACCACCCTTGCCACTTTCTGCCACAGCGCTGAAATCCTCTTCCCTGAGGGTCTCCAGCTGCACTGCCCTGGCTGCCTCGATGTCCCAAGTCGATCAGAAGTTTTAGTTCCCAAGAGAAATCCTTACATTAGGGTTCCCAGCATAAGGCTTTTGAACTGGGAGCTGAGGCTGCCACAAGACCACAGAGGACTTGTTTCTTGTTTGTTTGTTTGTTTTTAATTTTATTTATTCGTGTGTGTGTGTGTGTGTGTGTGTGTGTGTGTGTGTGTGGCCAGTTCAGCCCACCAGGGGGTGGGGCTGGCTGGCATGTGGTGCTGGGGGATTGAACTGCGGTCCCTGTGCTTTGCTAAGCTTGTTCTAAGTAGGTGCTTTAGACCACTGAGCCATCTCACCAGCCCTATTTCTTGTTTTATTTCATTGTTATATGTGTGTACATTTCCTTTTTAATTTTTAGACCCTTTTCTCTCATTTTTATTGGTTATACACAAGAATGGGTTCCATTCTGGCAGGTTCACACACACACACATAGCATACTTCGATCATTTCTGCCCCTTTACCACTCTTGCCTGCTCCCCCATATTTCTGGGGAGTTTCAATGTGTAACATGCATTTTACTCCTATGCATCTTTAAGATGTGATTCAGGTTTGTGATGTGCTGGCAGCAGAGCAGATCCTGGTCCTCCCAGGAAAGTGCCCTTGCTGGTTGCAGCAAGGCCATGGGATCAGGTCAGACACTGCCAGCTGCACACCATCTCTTCCTGAGTCCAGGCTTTTGCTAAGAAGGTGTCTAGCAGGGCCTGGAGGTACTAGCAGTCAGGTCCAGCCTATGGATCTGATTTTCACTGCTTTTAATGGCTAGGAAAAGCCCTTCCCTCTGTCACAAGGAACTAGATGGTACTTAGGATCTTGATTTGTGGGGGCATTTGTTGCTGCCAGAGTTAAGGGTCAGCATTCCCCACCCCTGAGGGAAGGGACATCACCAAGGGTCGCTGCTATCAGCAGCCAGCCCAGGCCTCTCCCCACACATGGTGAGTATGCCTATAATCCCAGAACTCTGGGAGGCAGAAGCAGGAGGATGAGAACTTTGAGCCCAACCTGGGCAACTTAGAAACTTCACCAGACTCTATGCCTCAAAATTTAAAACACAAGGGCTGGGAATTTAGTCCAGTGTCACAGTGCTTACCTGACAAGCATGAGGTCATGAGTTCAATTTCTGATTCCAAAAAAGAAAATAGCAAAAAAATTAAAACACAGTAACAGAAATAATAATAAATACTGGCCAGAGATGAAGTTCAGTATGAAGACCCCGTGATCAATTCCCCAAAGCATAGACAGCAACCCTTAAAATGCCACATTCTCACCTCCAAGGATTTGCGCCTAGGTGGAAAACTCCCCCTCCATCGTTGGCCTGTCTGCAGTCCACAGGCCAAGAGCCCCAGCACCCGGCCCCACAACCTCATGTTACATGTGGCGCAAATGTGTGCCTTTCAGATTACTACGATGGAGAGCAACCTGAAGACGATCGAGGAGGAGAACAAGGTCATCGAGCAGCAGAACGAGTCCCTCCTGCACGAGCTGGCCAACCTGAGCCAGTCCCTGATCCACAGCCTGGCCAACATCCAGCTGCCCCACATGGTAAGTGACTGAGCACGCAGCACCGGGGCCTCGAGCCACCGCAGTCCACATCATGACACACGTGTCTTTGTGTCATTGTCCCATGGTTCTTCCGGTCTTTGGATGTTTTCGGGTACCACCCCAAAACCATAACATTAACTGCTAGACACATCGGAGGGGCTACTCCCATAAAGTAAAGTGTGCTCTGACTAGGCAACACGGCAGGATGCTATGATACTGTTTGATGCTTTTGTGAATATACTATGAAGAAAATAAAAGTTGTATATGAACTACTATTTAATATCTCGTAGGATCCAATCAATGAACAAAATTTTGATGCTTACGTGACTACTTTGACGGAAATGTATACAAATCAAGACCGTTATCAGAGTCCAGAAAATAAAGCCCTACTGGAAAATATAAAGCAGGCTGTGAGAGGAATTCAGGTCTGAACAGCTGCTCTAGAGATGAAAATCATGCTTAAAAAAGGATGCCTCTTGCTTTTTGCTGCTGTAATTTACCAGAAAGTGTTCTATATTTATTTCTGTTGAAACAGTGTTATGCTTACAAGACTTCATAATGATTTTATGTCTTGCTTTAAAAATAGTACCTGCAGAATAGTTTTTTGAATACATTCACATTTTGTACGTTTTCATATGAGCCGACATAGTGTGATATGCCATGTAATGTTTATAGCTGCTATTGTATGCACATCTGGGGTATATATATTTCTGAAGAGGTAAGCTGATCAAAATAAATAGAGTGTAAATTCTTTTTAATGCTTTAGTGATTAAATGTTTTAGTATTTTGAACTGAGATGGACATAAAAGAAAAAGATTTAAAAAGAAAAAAAAAACAGCTTTGAATGGTCATGGGGTGGCCTCCTGGCTACCTGTAGACGTTATCATTTGCCTCGTGTTAGAGGACTTTATGAAACTTAAGAAATACATTTTGTGTGCATATTGTTTCATAGCGGGAATTGGTTGCAAAAAAATGCTTTATTTTTGAACAATGCTTGGAAATATTATGTGATTTCTTTTTGTTTGTTTGTTTGTTTTAGGAGGATGGTGTATGGTGGGGGCAATAATGAGGTTTTTTGCATTCCAAGGAAATGGCTTATGGATTAACTGTAAGACATGAAATAAGTAATTTATTGTAAGACAACATCAAGCCATGGAAACTTGGCAGAAGATTCAAAGCAGCTTAAACAGCACTTTTAAATTAACTCCTAAACATTACATGGTGTGACTATGGAGACTACCGTTAAGACAGAGCTGGTCAGAGGTGGACAACACGAAGATTTCCTTTTGCATTTTCAGTAAACCTTGGAACAACCTTCTCTTATCTCTGCTAGAGTCCCATGCCCCTCTGAACTGTTACCGAAACGTAGTTCACCTAAAAGAAGTTGTGTTTCCAATTTGAGCGAAAAGATCATTTAAGAGCATTTATTTCCCCTTTACACTTTAAAAAAAATCATTATTATTGTCATTATTTCACATTCGAGGAGAAAAAGGCTAGTGGCTTGTGAGTATTCTGGTTACTGGACTGGATTTTCTGCTGGACAGGTAGGAGAGCGGCTCAGTAAACGCATCCCCTCTCCTCTCCCGCCCCAGCTGACTTTGAATAAGCTTTGGACCAATTCAGAGCTCTCTGAAAACGACGGGCGTTTCTGTTCTACCCTCCGCTGGGTCCAGTTGACCACACAGCGTTTGCATAGCCTTGTTTGGTTTTGTGACCCATTCTAATAATGAATGCAATCAGATTTTAAAAGTAACTAAATATACTTCGGCACTTTTTTTGCTTTAAACTAGATCATCTTAGACTTGTTTATACCTTGAGGATTTGATTGTTTTATTCCAAATGACTGCACTATCTGTATGCATAAGACCACTTTTGATTGCTGCGTTTGCCCTCTGAGTAGTCCTTCGACAAATGTGTTGTGTTTCCTAATGTTGACTTGATTTCTTTGAGTAGCATCTCTCCCTTCCATGTCTTGATGTTATGCAGAAAGTACAAAAGTACTTTAAAATTTTGTTATGAAATAAAAAAGATGGGTTTTGTAAAAATAAAAAAAAAAATATTTTTAGCAGAACAGGACTTACAGGGTCATTGTTCACACAATGTGCCAGTCGACTATTTGCACTTACCTTGCCCTACATATCCGTACGGAGGTGTGCAATTCCTGTGTCAGTGGCCTGGTGGCCCTGACCCTGGGTGGATTATAGAGGAAGCCCTCACGGCTGACCCAGCATGGTTGCTAAGGGAGACTACAGGGATCTCACTACAAATATTCTGATACAATACTCAACCTCGGTATATATATATATGTATAAATATATGTATATCCCAGCGGCACTTTATACTGCTCACTGTACAAAAGCTTACAGTTTTCCACGAGGACTTTAATAACTAGCTGGGAAAAAAAAAAAAAAAGATTATGTAATTACTTTGGGGCTCTACAGTACTTTCTCTGTACAGGCGCCCCCTTTCTGTTGCGCAAGTAGTTGTAGCTGCCACGCTCAGAATTGCCTTTTTGAAAGCTGAAGCAAGGTGCTTACCGTCACCTGTTGCCATACACACGGTCCCGGGCGCTCGCCCCGCCTTGGGAGAGCCCCTGTTCATAGCGGCATATGCGTTTCCCCACCGCGTCTTGTCTGAAGCTTCCTGGCCAATGTAGTAATGCTTTTAGTAGAGTAATAGGTAGTATCAGTTTGGATTCTTATTGTTATCACCTATGTACAATGGAAAGGGATTCTAAGCACAAATTTGCTGCTCATGTAACGTTGGTACATAATATCAAATCAAAAGTTATCTGTGACTATTATATAGGGATCACAAAAGTGTCACATGTTAGAATGCTGACCTTTCATATGGAATTATTGTGACTCATCAGAGCTTATTTATTATAACTTATTGTTCATATTCATTTCTAAGTTAATTTAAGTAATCATTTATTAAGACAGAATTTTGTATAAACTATTTATTGTGCTCTCTGTGGAACTGAAGTTTGATTTATTTTTGTACTACACGGCATGGGTTTGTTGACACTTTAATTTTGCTATAAATGTGTGGAATCACAAGTTGCTGTGATACTTCATTTTTAAATTGTGAACTTTGTACAAACTTTGTCATGCTGGATGTGAACACATCTTACTCTAAATAAAAAGGTGTTGCCACGTTTGTAGCACGAGGGATCTCTAGCCGGCTCTGCGTTTTCAATGAAGCTGCGTTGCTGTGGGGGGCCCCAGTGTCAACTCCAAAATCCTGTCTCCTCTTGTTTCACTCTTTTCCTCTCCTTCCCTTCTTTTCCTTTCCTTTCTTTTCTTCTCTTTTTGATGCTGTGGGTGGACCCAGGGCCTCACGCTGACCAAGCAAGCACTGCCCACTGAGCTATACCACCACCCACCACCTGCTGCTTTTGCTTTAGTGTTTTTAGAGACTAGACTCTCAACTGCAAGGCCTGGGATTTATACTTGGTGCGTACCTTGACATCTTGCCTCCTGTGCCTGGCTTTTTGGAAAGGTCATCTTGCTGCAGGTCTGTCCTACCTGCTTCCTCCCAGGGGAGAGTAAGCACAGACACATCTTTCCTGGAAGGTGTCTCCGTGATTCTGTGTAGAAACATGTCCTCGTCACTGAGTACATGTCACATCCAGGGCTGCCAGCTGAACCAATAGCATCATTCACAGGTTCTGCCTTATTGGACACCCCTCTCCCAACTTACCCCCACCCGCCATGTCCCCCCAACTCCCCACATCACACCACCCCTGCTCCTTTCACGTTCACTTTCCTGCAGTTCTGCACAGAGCCGCTGAAGCTGAAAATGATCCTATGTGGGAGGGCAGGAAGAGACCTCAGTGCCTAAAGCAGTCAGGCTACCTCAGTCTTGAGAAAAACATCCTGCCTAGACACGGTGGGCTGTTAGTCGCTAGGCAAAATCTTGCAACTGTGTGAGGTATAAACAAAGGCCCTTACTATTGTTCAGGGAGGTGGTTCACCAACCAGGGGGAGGAGCCACGACCTAACCCAGTGCTTGTCTTCTTGTCTATCTTTTCCTCATTCCTGCCACCGTTTCTCCCTGGGTACAACGGACCACACTGAGACCAGCAGATCGTGCCACTCCTCGGCTGCAGCACCTGAACGGTCTCCGAAGGCCCAGAGCCTCGCGCCCAGACGTTTTACAAAACGTGCCCAGATTGACTTGTGTGATTGCCACCTCCTGACTGATTCGGCTTACATGGGCCATGCATCCTCCTCCTGGTCCCACACCTGGGCACGTGATAGCACGTGCCCCTGCAGCTGCTTAGCTGTCTTTCACAGTGACGCAAGACCACTTCCACAAGATCAGCAGGGATCTGAGCATCAGAGTTACCCTGAGTTACATCAACCTTCAGCATGAGCAGACAACACCCCATGTCACTGTTCAGAGAGGGCGTAGAACTCCAAAGGAGCCTCTTACAAAGGACATATATAAAATTCCTCACATATAAAATTTGAAGAAGAGACCTACAAAATCACTTTTCTTTGTTTTTTCTTTTTTGAGACAGAGTTTTGCTATGGTGTTCAGGCTGCCCTTAAACTCACTGTGTAGCCTGCCTAGGCTCGAAGTCCTGGGATCCTCCTGTCTCAGCCTCCCCATCATACCTTTTGTTAAATTCTGAAATTTATTCTTCTGCTTCAAGATTCAAAGTCAACTGTTAGCACCTCTGGCAAGCTGGTGTGTCCACACATCTCTGTACTATTTCAGGGAGCCCTAAGAGAGCCCACAACAGATTTCCCAGTGCTAACAGGTACAAAGGTTGTGGAGCCTGAAAATCCCTTCATTTTTGTCCACCCTGGAGAACAAAGTCAGTAGGAGATGTGGCTGCTAGGGACTCACTTCTGCAACCTAATTATTAAGAGCCCCCCAAAGGCCTTGTGTCTCCATGGTAAAATAAACATTTTTAAAGCAGCGTAACTAATGTCAGGTGTCTTAGAAACAGTTACTGATATAACAGTGCACTTGTTTATCCAAAGAGAATCAAAAGAGCTGTAGATGCACCACAGTAGAGCCAGCCCTAAGATCCTAGCAGAGAGGAGTGAGTAAGTCCTAAAACAGTGCACTGTGTAGCATCCTGTAGCAGTGTTAAGACGAGGGTAGAAAGACCGCAGTCCAATGGTCGCAGCGCAGTGGGTGAGCCTCAGGCACCAGGGAATTGGGCACGAGCACCGAGGGGAGCAAGGCTCCTCCAGGGAAGGGCCCAGTCACACTCACTCACCACAGACAAGGAAATCAGTCTTGAAAAATGCCAAGACAGCAGGGCGGAGCTTGGCAGGTTTGTTGAGGGCCAAGCTCTGGAGCTAAGGCTGTCGAGAGTGTCAGGACATCTTCAGACAGCTTCTCTGTCACTCTCCAGTCCCCTGCTGGCTGTCACAGGGACAGGACCAAGGGGTGAGGAGAGGAGTAAGTAGACACCACAAGAAATAGTGTCACTGCCAGATCCGGGCAGCAGTGCCTGGTTCAGTCAGTCCACAGCCGCTCTGGAGCCCAGCCTCCTCCGGAGGCCCCAGTTATCAGGAAGAGAGGCAACAATCCCTCCCTCAGCTCCAGACAGGAAATGGTCTTCCCATGCAGTGTGGTCTCTCCGAGCTACACAAAGCCCTTTCCCAGCACAGCTCATTTGAGGCCACTGCTGCTCAGCACCGACAGGCAGGCACCGAGGGCCCCGTCAGCAGGATGCACCTCCTGCTTTGTTCTTGTCAAAGTCTAGGTTTTCTACATGGCGCAATGACTAGGAACCTGGGATCTCAAAGAAAATGCTTTTTTTTTTTTGTGGCCAGGGAGATAGCTCTGCAGACTCAGTGGTGCCTGCCTGGCAAGCTCCAGGACCTGGGTTCAAACCCTGGTACCTCATTGCCATGCCAGCCCTGCACTGTGTCGGCCACTGAAACAGTGGTGCATGCCTGTAATCCGAGCGCTGGGAAGGCTGGGACAGGAAAACCACTATAAATCCAAGCTGCATAGTGAAACCCTGTACCAAATAAATAAATATTTTTTAAAAGGCATTTATTTGTTTGCTTGTTTTGAGGCAAGGCTTCCTATGTAGCCCAGGTTAACCTAGAACTCATAAGGATTCTCCTGCCTCAGTCTTCTGCATATTGAGACCAAAAGCAATTTCAGTATGTATCAAGGGAGACATTCCAATGAAAGAGTTTGCCTATCTCTTACAATCACCAGGTCACACACACAAAATTATTAGTGCGAACAGCATCCCCCTGCCCTGCACCAGGAAGAAGGACTTGGCAGAGAGCTCAGGTCAGACCTCTTGCCAGTGCAGGTTTCTCCTGCTTTGTTTAAGTACCTGGGATGGAATCCCCAACCCCTTTTTTGTTTTGAGACCAGGTCCTGCTAAGTTGCCAACTTGCCCAGACCAATCTGGAGCGGGCAGTTCTCCTGCCTCAGCCTTCTAGAGTGCTGGGATGACAGGCTTATGCCACCAGGCCAGGCTGATATGCCCGTTTCCTAATGCTTTCTAGACAGAAGCACCAACTCATTGTTCTTGTGCTTCCAGACAGGCCTTGCTGGGCCTGGGCCACGGGGAACAGGCCAGGACTCAGTGTCCCTACTCATGAAGCTGGAATATGAGAAGAGGACAATGTTCTCGCACGTGCTTTCAGTCCTCACATCCTGCTCTTGTTTACTTCCACCATTCTGCATGGCCCTCTCATCCCTCTCCAACCTTAGAGGATGGAGCAATTGTGATTCCCCAAGAGCACAGGAACCTGGTCAGCTGGTTCAACTCTCACCTCCCACCACAGGCCCAAGCTGGTGGTTGGGACCTCAAGCCATGGTCCCAGGGAAGGCAGGAGACACAGGCCCAACAGCCACAGCCCCATCCTTATGTGTGGCCAGAGCCCCTAGGAGAGGGCCAAGGGCTCAAAAGAGAAGCAAGAGGGAACTGGAGGCTGTGAGCAGGAGTTTGTTTTTATTCCTGTATTATTTTGTTCCTAAAGACAAAAGGCATAGTCCACATGAAAAGTGCAGACCTCCGCTCTGCTGGGAACAGCATGTGGCTGAGAGGCAGGCTGCCGCCCCTGCTGAGGCTGCACAAGGCCTGGAACGGCTGTGCATCATGCACACCACTAGGCCATCCACTGTTCTTAGGGCTTCAAGGTCTTAAATCATGAGATTGGGCCAAATTCCAAAGGTTCCCTTTACTAAGACCCAAGTTGTACACCTGGGTAGAAATAGAGGACTAGGACCCAGCCGGATTGATCAGTCATAGGCTCTTCTGTGGTCCCCAGGACTTCCTGGGACACTGGGGACGTGGACTGGCATGAATAGTCTTAACTTTGCCAAATTATCTCAGCCTTTTTATGGAATCAGTTACCTTACAGTTCGTGAAAATAACACACTTGTGGGGCAATTCCTATTTTCTAGAATGGAGGTTTCAGAGAGTCCTAAGAGAGGAAGGGAGCTGGGCCTGATGGAGGCACACCTGTCATTCCAAGATTCAATAGGCTGAAGCAGAACAATCTCAAATTCAATCCCATCCTGGGCAACTTAGTGACTTAGCAAAGCCCTGTATCAAGACCTTACTTTAGAGGAGAGGGCTTGACAATGTGAGTGCAAAGGTATGTGTTCAAGCCCCAGTGTGAGGGGGAGAAAGAGGAAGAAGTGGAGGAAAAAGGAGGAAAAGGAAGAAGAAGAGAAGAAAGAGGAGAAAAAGCACCAGATGTGGTGGCATGCACCCATTATCCCAGCACTGGGGAAGCTAAGGCAGGAGGGCTGCTGTGAGTTCAAGGCCAGCCTGAAATACATAGCAAGACCCTAGGCCAACAAAAATGAGGAAGAGGAGAAGAACAAGAAGGAGGAGAAAAAGTGGAAGATGATAAGCAAGGAGGAGGAGAAGGAAAGGAAGAAAGAAGGAGCAAAGAAAAAGGAACAGAAGAAACAGAAAAGCTGTTCAGAACCAAAGAAGGCAAGGCCCCCCCCCCCCAAAAAAAAAAATCCTTGCAGCTACTTTTTCTGGTCAATGAGGCTGACTTTGGCAATGTGACCACGATCAAGAGTTTAGAGCCATAAAGTCAAAGCTGCTCACACACGGGAGGCCTAATTCCTTTTTTCCAAAAGGAGCTTGTGTCCGCTCCCTGAATTATTGAGAAGAAACATTCCACTTGCCAGAACAGTCCAGACTGGTGGGCAGACACTGCCATGGATC